TTTGTTAATAGCAAGAATTGAACCTTAAAATAAAGTGTGACCAAAAAAACACTGGTTTGGAAAGACATGATGTGAGGTTTTCATTTTGGGGTGATAACAGTGAAAATACTGCAGTACTACAGAATGTACAAGTCACGTGAAGCTCTAAATTACTTTGAGCTTTTGTTCCTGGTTCAGATTTCCAAAAATGGGATCAAATAATATTCAAGTCAAGTTACCAGCGGGAAAACACTGATACAGTGAGAGATAAATGACCATTAGACCTTGTTAGACTGCATGCCTTGCCATAAGACCATAATGATTAGATCATCGCAAAGAAGTAAGTACATTACCGTATAACAAAACCATGGCTGTCTATCTCCTTCCCACATCCGCTCTTCAGGAGAACGCCTGAGTTCCCCACCACAGCACAGGTCTTGAACGTCTTGTTCTTTAGTGGAGAGACTTCGGGAAGTAAACTGTGTAGAGTCTGAGAAACATTGAATGTCCTGCGCCGGTCCAGAACGTAGTGGATGGTATCGCCCGGTTTGAAACTGCTCTTGATAACAGACACGTCTCTCTCCGCATCCAAGAAGCGAAGCACGTCCTTCCTTCCACGTGTTGAAGCACATCAGGACAATAGATTACTCATTAGTTCATAACCATATCATCCAAACATGCTCTAAAAATGACCCTATGAAGTCATGCTCTGAGCGAGTCATAGCACTCAATATCTCTAATACTCGTCCCTCTCGAATCTGTGCTTTATGTGCTGTATGCATTTTTAAATTTGTGCAGGTTACTCACCTTATGATGGTCACAATGGTGGCATTAATCTTCCATCCCACTCCCATGTCACTCAGATCACTTAAACTAAAGCCGAACAGTTTCTCGGAGCCGTTGACCATCAGTCTAGTAGAACTGGGCTCAGACTTCCTGTTCAAATAGAAATGTGGCATAGTAACTATTCGCACAAGTGCTGATAATTCTGCTGGGTTCGACACTGTGTTCATGTAGTCAAACTCATTAATGTATTCTGTCTGTCTGTCTGTCT